GGTTTGATCATCAGCAACACATACACACACACACACACACACACACACACACACACACACACACACACACAAATAATCCAATTTAAAAATGGATAAAAGATTCAGATATTTCACTAAGGAAGAGGTAAAGATACAGATGGCAAATAAAACAAAAAGATGCTCAATTGTATTAGTCACTAGAGAAATAGAATCAAAATCACATTTAGAATCTCCAAAACCTAAAAAACCAACCATAGCATATGAAATATTGGATAAGATATGCAAATTTCCAACCCACTAAAACTAAAACCAATTGGCAGTATTCTTCCCTTTCCTTTCTTCCTGCCAAGGATTGAACTCAGGGCTGCTTAACAAAATAAAAACCACAGTGGTTTTTATTTTGAGACAGGGTCTTGCTAAGTTGCTTAGGACTTCACTAAGTTGTTGAGACTAACCCCAAACTTGCAATCTTCCTGCCTCAGCCTTCTGAATCACTGGGTTTATAGGTGTGCACCACTATACCTGGCTAGTTGGAAGTTTCTTAAAAAGTTAGATAAATACCTACTATATGATCCAGTCATTACACCAGGTATTTATGTGAGAGAAATGAAAGCATAAATACATATAAAAACTTGTACACAAATATTCACAGCAACTTTAAATGAATTATGGTATAGTTATACAATGTAATACAACTTTTTTTTTGCAGTGAAATGAATGAAGTATTTATACACTCTACAATGTAGATGAGTCACAAAATAACTTCACTAAGTGAGAAAATCTGGACCAAAAAGGCTTCATACTACAATTTCAAGAGGTATCAAAAAACTTTAGGGGATGGTGGATATGTTCATTATCCTTTTTGGGGAGGGGGGTACCAGGGATTGAACTCAGGGGCACTCAACCACTGAGTGACATCCCCAGTCACATTTTACATTTTATTTAAAGACAGGGACTCACTGAGTTGCTTAGCACCTTGCTGAAGCTGGCTTTGAATTCAAGATCCTCTTGCCTCAACCTCCTGAGCCACTGGGATTATATGTGTGTGCCACTATGCCCGGCCTATGTTCATTATGATTGATTATGGCGATCGATTCATAGCTAAAAACATATGAAAACTTAACAAATTGTATATATTTAAAATACATAACTTGTTATTAATTATACTGTAATAAATATATTTAAGAATAAAATCCCATCTGCTACATGATTTCTATTCTGTCCTCTGGTTTTATTACTCTTTTAACTGAAAGGTTTTCCATATTAACCACACACAATTTCCTTGCTTTTCTTTGGAGTCCCTTTAACATCCATTAACAAGTTGAGTTTTTTYCTTAAATTACAATTTTATTTCTAAAAGTTCTAAGGATTTGATCAGAAGTGAAAACTTGTACTGTATAACAATGGAATTCACAGCTAACATGTATCTGGTAGAAGTACACTAAGGCTTTGGGTTTATAGTTAAGTTGAGTTACAGCTGTTCAGATATCAAAACAGTATATCATTTAAGATGTCTGAAGCCTAAACTAGCTGCCATATGGGCAAGAGCCAATTCAGTTTCTCTCTGGAGAGATTAAGATTTTCTATGGGGCTGGGGATGTGGCTCAAGTGGTAGTGCGCTCGCCTGACATGCGTGCGGCCCGGGTTCGATCCTAGCACCACATACAAACAAAGATGTTGTATCCACTGAAAACTAAAAAATAAATATTAAAACTAACTCTCTCTCTCTCTCTCTCTCTCTTTAAAAAAATAATTCCTGGTAATAAATACTTTAAAAAAAAAAGATTTTCTATGTTCCTGAAAAACAGGAAAGGAGTGGAATAAAGGGGGTGGGGAGCAAAGGGAGGATAATTAATGATCTCTTCTCTAAAAATCATATAATTCTATTATCATTTGCAATGCACAAAGCTGTATGTATTTTGGCACCATGATTTCAATGGTAGAGGTATCACACCATGTTATACAAATCATTTTAAAATGTTGATGCCTGGCTAACAGATCACTAAATGCATGTATACCCCCAAATGTAAATAGAAGATATTGGTAGTTATGCTTAAAAACTTTCAGATTCCAAACCATACATAAATCTCTAGCCAAAATTCTCAGGTATTAAAGTGTTCACTCAGCATCTTATTTAAGATGAAAAAAACTACCATAAAAAAGCATATTAAAAAAAACAATAACAAGTGTAAGAAAAACATCAAGGGACTTTTTTAATGAAAAAATTACATTATAACAAGGACATTATACATCGTTACAGTATATATACACACATTTTAACCTCTTTTAAAACCAGGCATAAAGTAAACAACATCTTTTTCATACCCACATGATTAAGTATATATTTTTGACAGGATATAAAAAAGATGAAACACAAGCTGGTGGGCCTCAAAATTAGAAACTCTAATAATTCAGAACTGGATCCCCAAAACCTGTCTTCCATCACTTTTGTGACTTGTAGGAAAATATTGACTTGCATAAGATGTTTAAACTGTTCCTTTTAATTATACTAATTGCTTACACAGAAAATTGCTATTGAGGGAAACATCTATCATGGTTGTATTTATCTATAATTCATTGGAGTATATATGAAGTTCAGTTGGAGGCTTGGAACATGAAAATTACAATGAAGAAACAAGTGAGCTGTAACTGTGAAATTCTAACTGCTTAATTTGAATGTCTGACTCCTTACACAGATATTACACCTTGAAAAATATGACAGGAAAGAACATATATCAAACTTTGCTGTAGAGCTGTTAGGAGAATGCCAAATACAGATAATGAAAAATTTTACATATTTGTACTTAATACCCTGTGAATTAAAAAATAATTAGACATTTAAAATATGTAAACTGTTTTCAAAACGTGATGCCAAGCACCTTTGAACTAAATACTGACATCTTGTGGCTAACCATGCATTTAGAGGATAAATGAATTTTTAAAATCTCCCAGAAATCATTTTTAAAGAGCTACTCATTAAAGTACTTACATGAAAATACTCATAGTTCCAGTTTCTACCTAAAACCCAAGAGAGTATACAATAAGGAATTTAAACATTTCTTCATTCTCTTGGTTTTTGTAGGTTGTTTTGTTTTTTGTTTGTCAGAAGGATGCACTGTAACTTTCTGTTCTCATAAAAAACATTATCAGAAGAGATAATCACACAGAATGAAGAGAAATATATTTTAACTATGTTTTGTTCTTGATCAAGGACCAAAGTTGGAATCCTCTGACATCTCTCTCATCCTCACAGGTAACTGATCAGAGTTTGTGTCTTAACATGCATTTCTCCTTAGCAACTCAACATCAAAAAAGAAAGGAATGTCTCCAAAAGAATACAATATAGTTCAAAGGGTGAAATATTAAATAATACACATTTATAATTATTGGAAGATAAAGATATATTATTTAAAATCTTGAAAAAGTTTCCATAAAAACTAGAAATAACAAATAAAAACAGTATTACCTACTGTGCAACTCTAAACTGTAAATAAATTCAAACTTATTCCTTTTAAATACACACACACTAACAGAAATGTGGGTTTGAGGTAACTAAGAATTGTTTAACTGCATAATAGAATCAAATTTAGCAGCCTACTTCTACAAATGCTGACAAATATTTTCATTTCTTAAGAAAAAGAAGAGCAATTCTTACTAAAATTGTACATATAACTAAATATTAGTTTTGCATTAAATAGGATATAAATAATAAAATTTATATTGAATAGGATATAAATCTAAAAAGTAAGCAATTTTAGAATTCCACTTATTTCTAAAATATCAGTGCTTTACATTTAGATACATGTCATGTACCTCAAACAAAGTAAATTAAGAATGAGAGACTGGACTTAGAAAAGCCAAAAGTGACTTATAATCACGTAAAGTATTAAGGTTAACTTTCATATTATACTCTGCATGCTTTGAATATGAAACATTAATATCCACTTGAAATTCTTATGTTTTTAAAAAATAAAATTATGCCTACATATGGTCTTTGGAAAAACAAGCCTTTGGAGGTTGATATCTTTTTTTTTTTTTTTTTGGTATCAGGAATTGAACACAGGGGCACTTAACTACTGAGCCAAATCGCTACTCCTTTTTAAAATTTGTAATTTTGAGACAGGTTCTCAGTTACTTAGGGCCTTGCTAACTTGCTGAGGCTAGGTACTTCAAACTTGCAATCCTCCTGCCTCAGCCGCTCAAGTTGCTGGGATTACAGGCATGTGCCAACATGCCTGGCTAGAGATTATTTCTTGGCAGCTATGGGTGATGTTTCTATTTTGCCAATCTTTCAGAAAACAGTTGCTTATAATGAATATACTGATTAGTACTTATTTGGTATTTGAAGTAAATATACTTAACAAACAAATATACCAGATCAGATACTTTAAAGTATTAAAAATGAACTAAATTTTAAACTATAAATACTTGTCCTGAAATACTTTGAATTCTAATACTATTGATTCAGTAAGAACTCCAGCATTAGAACAATCTAAATATTACTTAAATTCTTTTCTAATCTGAACTGAATCTTCAAACTAAAGGGGAAAAAAAACAAAAACAAAACCTCTACTAACAACAAAAAGTTTCCCAAATTATTTTTAAACCCCAAGAAGTTCTATTATTTCCAAATTCTCTCATTTTCTTCATCTTTCTACCCATTAATACTGTTTTACCTGCAACATAGTATAAGTTTATGCAACATATACTGATTTCTGTTGTTTATCTGATTAATTCTAGTTAAAATTCTCAGTACTTACCAAGTCATTTAAATTTCTATTAGATGACCATTAATATGCTATTGGTTTGTAGTTAAAAATACAAAATTAAAAGGGAAGAGGCTAAAATGTAACTGTATGGTTTTCACAGACTTGATTGCTGGGTTTTGTGTTATTATATAAAATCTATTGCTTTATCTTTCCAAATAATACAGACTACAAATATTCTCTCATCTGTCTGTTAATTAAATTTCTTTACAACTTTAAAATTCGTAACATAAACATACACTCATCTACTATTTTTGTTGTTCTTTTTTGTGTTACATGAACCAAACTGGATATTTCCAGAAATGTTAGATAAGTGTTCATGTTTGGACTAAATTACTATGGGTAAATTCAAACAATCTTTTGAAATACTGACTTATTAGATAACCAAAAAGCATAACAATTAGACAAAATAAGAAGGGCAAAATATTTCTTAATATAGGTTAAAATATGAACTTGGCAACAAAAATACCAGTTTTAAATCAAAGCTGCTCATCAGTCTTCAGTCCAGTTATCATAATGCTGTGCTTTGATAATATTCACCTTCTTTTCTAAAACATCAGAAGTCACCAGAGTTGTAAATTCTGAAAAGCTTCAATAATTTATGTAGCAGATAATTTCTTACAGTCCAATTTTTTTTGCTTCCAAGGACAATGTTGGTTCTTTGGGTTCTTGTTTAACTTGGTTCATAGAAATAGTACCTTCTGGGTTTTCTTCAACTTTAAAACCAAACATAAAAGAAAAATCCAAAGGGTTAATATACTTTGACACTGGAATCTTTAGAATTATATGAATTAGAAGAAAAGCAAAAAGCTACAACAGTTTGGAAAAAGAACCAAGCTGCAATTCAGAAAAAATAGTATATTTGAAAACTCAGTGCCACATCTTAGATGATAGCTCTGATTTAGGTGTGTGAACTATATGTTTGTTTATCTGAAACATTTCAGAATCCATTTACCATTCTGATTTGAAAGCACTTATAACCAAGTTAATCTAAAGGTAGCATACAAACAGCACTACTGATAAGTGGTGATGGAATGTCTAACATCAAATTTTCTTCTCTCTTTCTCAAGAATATTGGTTTTTCAGTTGCTATTAGGAAACGTGTTAAGGGGACCATATTTGCTCATAGAAGCATGCTCAACATATCTAATTTTTGTCTGCACATGCAGGTGTATTAGAGTTTAGCCAGAGACACAGAGAACTAGCATAGGATGGATTTGAGTGACTCTAAGAACTCATATCTAGGTGATATAGTCCCTCAAGATTGTTATCTAACTTGATAAATCATGCAAATTTGGCTCCAAACAGGGTCTTCTTTAAAACAATCTAGATCAGTACTCCCAGAAATACTGTGGCACAACACAGAGGAAAGAAACATTTGAATGGAAGAAAGCTTTGAAAGGCAAGTCTGATCTGGGTTCAAATCCTTGCTCTGTCACTTACTAGATGTGCACTTTAGGCAATTACTTCACTTACCTGAGTACTCATCTGTATAATTCTTCTCATGAAGACTTCACATATATTTCTTTTTTCTTCACATTTACTTAAGTTACTCAGCAGTTATAACTGCCACAGCCCTCTGGATAAATTTTCTTTAAAAGTAATGCTTTCAACAAATCTAAAAGATAATGACTTTTTCTGAAAGGAACTATGTCACTGTTTTCTTTACCCAGAAGAATAAGAATTGAGATGGAGGGAAAATACATGTTCTAAGAATAACTTCTGTGAAGATTTTTGCTCTTCAAAGTAAACTGCAAGTCTTTGACCACAAAAGTGCTGGTCCAGAACAATTTGTATGAAGTAAAGTGACACAGTTAGGTCAAGTAGAAGTTAAAAGAGTTTACTACTGGGTTGGGGTTGTGGCTCAGTGGCAAAGTGCTTGCCTAGCATGTGTGAGGCACTAGGTTTGATTCTCAGCACCACATATAAAWAAATGAATAAAATAAAGATTCATCAACATCTAAAAAATATTTTAAAAAATCAACTTGGTTAGTAATAAAGTGAAGATAACAAGGTCCTGGACTAAACCAAGTGCCCAAGTTTTATTAGTTCCCTTTCACCTTCCATAGAACTCAGAACATTTAACTTTATAACTCAAAATTTTCATTTTACCCTTTGTATCTGTCCACTTCGTTTTACTTTTACTTGTGCATACATATATCATTTTTTGCACTAAAACAGTTTTCCATATTTTATGTTTTTATCAATTTTTAAAGCATTCTAGAACAATCTTTTGATTTCACATCAAGAGATTTTTTTCCCATGAAAAAAAGTTAATTAGGGAATAATAACTTCAAAGGGATTAAATAACTAGAAATAGGGAGAAATATGAAGTTGTAAGTTTAAAAGCTCTTAAATTCATGCTAATGAAATATCCCCCTTTTCTCTCATAATTTTGCTTCAGTTATATAATATTATAGACCTGCTGGGTAGAAATGATAGTATTTTTTTTCTGTAGTGTGATATAATAATGGTAGTTCATAAAGATTAAAAAAAAGTTACATCATAAGTTGATTTTAACTTACTAAGAGCTGGGTGGTTATCTATAATCCGTATTGGAATGGTCTGCACATCTCGCAAGAGAATCCTTTGGATACTTCCTTCCAGATTCTCCGTCTCCTCAATATCTTCAACTTCCACCAGCTGATCCACTGCAACTAGACTTTGATCTGGTTCTGGGAGATTACCCATGGTAGAGGCAGTACTATTATTTTGAGTTAGGCATGTATCTGTTTGAAGGCTATGACTTTGACCAAGAAGTAGAGAATTACTATTCATTACATCATTTTCTACCGAATCCAGAAGTCTTGATGGACTGGAAGAGGGGTGGTTATTTACTGATACCAAAGCTGGTGATCCATCAGGAGAGGTAAATTGTGGTTGTAACTGCAAACCCTTTTAAATAGAAAAAATTTATATCAAAATATTTGGCTTTATAATGTATAATATTTTCATATGATATACTACTCTTTTGACAAAAAACTGACACAGATAAAATATAAGTGAATAGTTGCTAATAAATATTAAGAGGACAGAAACAAGAACCAAGAGAAAAATAATATAACTAAATTTGACTGCATGCATAGTTCACTTCAAACTTTTTCAAAAAAGACTATTTGAATTATCATCTTAAATTAAAATACAAAGAAGTCAAGAAATTAATAATGAAGAAATACCTGATCATTATAATGCTATAACAGTTTTCTAAAATCACTAGAAGAAGAGACATGGAGAAAAAAGAGCCCCAAATTTGGCTATCTTACCTGTAATTGTGTAAATATTTTGGGCTGAAATGAGGAAAGTGAGGAGAGCAAGTGGGTTCGTTCTGGAGACAAAGAAGACCCAGCCTGATTTGCTTCTACTTTGGTGGTAATTGATTCTCCTGGTGAATTTCCTAAATTATATAAAATACAAACTATTAAAACAAAATTATTTTTATTGCTTCTAGGATACTATGCTTTATTACAACCCTTTCTATCAGAAGTGAATAGCAAACAAGATCAAAGATTTGCAAAAAACTTCAAGAAATCATTATCATCAGAAAAAGAAAGAAAGAAAAATAAAGTCAGCTAGCCCATTATTTCCAGAACCAGGCAGATAGATCATCAGAATCTCTAAGGAAAATTTAGAAAGTATATATTCCTAGTATTATGGAATAGTATAATGTGGACACCAAAAGCTCCTTTGTGAGACAATGCAAGAAAATTTAGAGGTATAATGATTGGGTTATGAGAGCCTTAAACTACTGGGTACATTATACTGGGTATTATGATTACTGGGTAATAACCAAAGACTGGTAGGGTATAGCTAAAGGAGGAAGGTCTATGGAGGGCATGCCTTTGGGGTTTATATTTTGTCCCTTTTGAGTGGAGCTCTCTCTGCTACTGATTGCCCTGTTCTGAGCTGCTTTTCTTCTCCACACCCTTACAACTCATCTCAGACCCAGAGCAACCAAGCTGGCTATCTATAGATTGAGATTTCTGAAATATTGAGTGCCAAATAAACTTTTCCCCCTCTAAAATTGTTGTTAGGTCTTTTGGTCACAGCTATGAAAAAACTGTCAAAAATGCCTAGGTTCAATCTCCATTTATTTTTTACTGGTGGGGTTTGAACACAGGGCCTTACACCCCCAGACCTTAACCTCCATAAATTTCATTTCAGTAGATCTGGTCTGGGATCTAGAAATATATTTTTTCCTGGAAAGACTCTGCATCTGGAACTCTAATACAGTCCATTCTTCACACTATAATGCTAGTCTACACCCTAAGTTTTCTAGATATGTAAAGCCCATTGAGATTCTCAATTACAAGGACCAAACAATTCATCTTCTGTAGTCCTAAAACTTAGCACAATGCCTGGCACAAATAGGTCCTCAATAATAATACTATTAAATTTCTTAATCCATAACTCATTTTGGGATAAATGAATAAAAGTAAAAACTTGTCTTATTAGTTTTAAAAGTAATTGTCCTTATGGAATTTGAGTCATTCTCATATCTTACTTACTTACTTAYTTAYTTATTTATTTATTTATATGCTGGGATTGAATTCAGGGCCTGGTACATGTAGGTAAGCACCCTATCAATGAGCTGCAGCCCTAGCCCTTTAATGTAGCTCTTATTATGTTAACTCAAATATATTAATGTCCTTAATATAAAAAAAAAAAAAACAATTTTACACCTGTAATCTCAGCTACCAGGAAGCTGAGGCAGCAGATAGCAAGTATGAGGTCAGCCTGTGCAACTTACCAAAACCCTGTCTCAACAAACAAATGGAAATAACAATAATAAAAACCCTACAATTTTAGGGCTTCCATAATAGATTTTATTTTTCTTGGTGATATTGGGGATTAAATCCAGGGGTACTTTATCACTGGGCTACATCCTAGCCCTATTTATTTTTTGAGAGAGGGCCTTGAACTTTGATCCTCCTGCCTTAGCCTCCTGATTCTTTATGATTATGGATGTGCATTGCCATACCCATCTAGAACTGAGAAATTTAAAAACTGGTCCTTGTGTCAGATAAGGATGGACTTTTAAGCCAGATTAAGTTCTGGCTTTTCTGGATTACCATCAACATACTATAAAACTCAGTTTGTAAATTTCAGTTTCCTCATCTACAGAATCAGTGTAATCAATCCTTCTTCAGAGGAATGCTCAGAAGATTAAAGAGTTCTCCCATATTTCTTGGCTTCTTCATTTCTACAGTCCTTTTACTTGACTCTGTTACAGCTGCCCATTAGTATGATACTACTCTACCTCTACTAGTACTTCTAGAATATTCTAGACTATTCTACCTCTAAAATCTCATATTTAAACATTCCATTCTCTGAACAATATCTTAATTCTTCCAGGAATTTTACACAGGTACTTTGCTACAATAATTCTTCACCCTCATGTGACTGTAGTCAACTGATCCCTGAATTTTCTTCAGATCCATTACTTTTTCTTAATAAGATTCTTTCCCCATCCGGCTTAGATTCCATAGTCTATAATTTTAGTTTCTCTTACAAGTATCATAAACTCCTTTGCCTTTGGTTATATTCTCTGCTGAAACTCAACTCTGAATGAAATGGCTTCCTATGCCTATATACAGAAAGTCAGTGCCATTGAAAAAAAACTCACTACCAGTGCTGATACCAGCCTCAACTAGAACTTCACCTAGAATGTTCAGCAATTCTTTTACTCTATTCAGAATAATTTCTTATATCCATGTCCCTCAAATTCACACCACCCTTCCTAACACCTTTCCTAATTCTTACCCTCACTTGTATTTAAAAAGAGAAGCCAAAAGAGAGAAATCTCAACTTCCCATTCTACCACTTTTACTATGTCTGCAAGTCTCTATTATCTTAAAAACACCTTCTCTCAACCCATATTCTCTTTATAGACAATTCTTGAAAAAGTGGTTCACATTATCTATACTCCTTCACTTATCTTCCATTCATTCTTCAATAACTCTAATTTGGCTTCCTCCTAATCCACTCTATTGAAATGGCTCTAATACTCAAGTTTCTAAATCTGATACCTTTTCCTCTCTCTTTCCTTCACCAATACTCTATTCTTTTGCCTAACCTCAGTAAATCCTATCATTAGTCAACTGCTCAAAGTACAAATTCAGAAGTCATCTTAGATCATTCCAACTCTTTTGTCCCCTATCCCCAATTATTCAATCAATAACCATGGTCTTTAAATTCTACTTTTAAAATAATTCTCCAATTTGTTTCCTCTGAGTATATATACAAACAGCTTCAGTCTATACATTTTACTACACATTTTCATCAGTATAGTAAAATGGCCTTCTAAATCTGTTTCGCTTATATAGTTTTAACTCTAAGCACTGTCTATGCTAAACCCACACCAGCCTTCTTAAATGTGTTTCTTAAATGTGACAAAGCTCTTCTTGCTTGTTTTTCACAAATGTAATTCCTTTGATTGGCAAACTTCTAGTCGTTCTTCAGTTCTTAAAAGTGACACTTTTAAGTGTCAATCCCCAACTTTTTGTTCTGTCTATATCACTAGTCTAGTCCCACATAATTTTGCACAATTCTTCCATGGTACTTTTCAAAACAGTAATTAATTAGAATATACTTGTTTAATGTTCTTTTTCTCTTGCTAACCTTTAAATTTCATAAAGTAGAAAACTTACCCAATATTTTTTATGTCTAGCATTTAGCACAATGATTTAAATATATATAGAATAAATGAATAATGCTAAATAATATCAAAGCCATTCTGTAGGCAAAGATTAATAAGTGGAAGAATAAAAAACACTATACTATATATGGTTATTCATTAATTGATTCTAAAGCATTTATTTAGGTACTAACTGTTTAGCAGGCATTATCCTAGGCAATAGTTATGTTAATTTTAATAAAATATAATCCTTCTCTCTGAAAGGCTCAAATTACAAGAATATAGTTATGTAAACAACAGCTTTCTATGTTAAATGCAGAGATAAATATAAAAAAGAATGAGTAGTTCCCTGAAGGTGAAGTAAAGGAAGCACTTAAAACTGGAGATTGTTATTTGAGTAATAAAAGGAGTTGGCCATGCAGAAGATAGAACACATGCAAAAAAGGGTTGAAATAGGTTTAGACTACTGAAAGACAAAAGGAATAAGAACATATGAGAAAAAGCAAAACATTCAAAATAAACAATAGTTCCAAGATCAAGGTATCTTATGGTTATTACTATTGGAATTATATAGCATTGTAGTTTACTATGATGGTAATCATCCTTAATTTTCAGTCATAAAGAAGTATAAATGTTGGGGGTGGAGTTGTAGCTCAGTGGTAAAGCACTTGCCTAGCATGTGTGAGGTACTGGGTTCAATCCCCAGCACCACATAAAAAAATAAATAAATAAAACAGAGGCCCATCAACAATAAAAAAAAAAGAAGCCTAAGTGTTAAATATCAGAGAAATTTAAATAGCCAGAAATATTTTGAAAAATCTCACAGAGTTGCTTTTTGCTTTTTTGGGTAATGATTTYCTTATCTATAAAATTTGATCATATAATATTTTAAGTTTCTTCCAGTTTTTACATCATTTAATTTTATAAAGGCATTCAAGATAACATACCTTCTGCAAATGTAACTGTCACAGTCTCTCTGAGAATATTCCCACTATCTGTAGTCCACTGAAGCTGAAATAGGAATATTTATTTAAATGAAAATAAAGTAGTAATAATGAAAAAAACTTAAATCATTCATACAACTGTCATATTTTATTGTCAAACTATATTTGTGTTTTATTCTATTATTCTCTCTACTTGTTCATATTCTCAAAGCACAAGTATACTTTACTATACAAATATATTAGGTTCCCGAGTTTGGACAGCAATTATTTGTATAGCAAATCTGTTTTATTTCTTGAGTTTTGGAAAGGAAAATTGAAAGTTTTGGATAGCAAGAAAATAGCAGTTTTGGGGGCTGGGATAGTGGCTCAGTGGTAGAGTGATCACCTCGCATGTGTGAGGCCCTGGGATCAATCCTCACGAACCACATAAAAAAATAAATAAAATAAAGATTTTTTTWAAAAAAAATAGCAGTTCTAGCTTTAAAACATTCTGAATATTGGGCTGGGGTTGTAGCTCTGTGGTAGAGCATGTGTGGTGCACTGAATTCGATTCTCAACACTACATATAAATAAATTAATAAAGTAAAGGTCCATCAATAATTAAAAAAAAATTCTGAATATGTTCAGTTTCTGAATTTGGAAAGTTAGGAGAACAAAGGATGCCACTCAAATTTTAATGCCATAGTCACTGTCTGCAATGTAATTAGTAGTTCTTAGGTAATTGTTAGTAAATTTTCTTGGAAATGACTAGTATTTGGGGAAAATACAGTTTTAAACTATGAAGTACAATTGATATTCATATTTGGCATATGGAACTAACATTTATCACTTTATGCATTCAAGTCTGAACTATTTAATTTTGCCCTTTTTAAAAAAAAAAATGGGGGCACCAACTGTGGTTTTGTACACTGCAGTCCCAGCACTGGGAGGCTGAGGTAGAAGGATCATTGCAGCTTAGGAGTTCTAGACCAGCTAGGGTAAATTTAGTGAGACTTGTCTCAAAATAAATAAATGAATAAATACAAAATGGCGGAGAATGTACTTAATAAAAGCCTACTAAATAAGTATGAAATAATTTCCATAGAGAAAAAAATATTGATTTTAAAGTGAAGATTACTATTTTTAGTATACTCAGATTTGGAAATCTACTGTTTCTTCTCTTTTTTTTTTTTGTTTTTTTTTTTGTTTCTTCTCTTTGTGACAATAATTTAAACAAAATTGCAGTTACCACCTGATAATTTATGGTTTACATTTTAAGAAAAAAAAAGTCACTACTGTTTCCCATGTCATAGTAATTCACATGGTCTAATAGTAGCCATCTCTATTAGGACAAATACTAGAGAAACTGAGAAAGATTCTCTCATAAAACAAAGAATTGTGGTTGTGATCATACCGTTGCTGGAATAATCTCTGAGTTATATACCATATCTCCATTTCTCAAGGATTTCTGTACCTCATGGATGTGATTTTTTATATCATTTACAGTTGGAAAAAAAGATAAATTATGTCTTTCAGGTACCTCATCAGGTTTGAACAGTTCTCTTTCCACAAATTTCCTGTGGAGAATATAAAATAGAACAAGAATATAAACTATTTAGTAATATACTTGTAGATCAAAAGAGAAAAGTTCTCTTTTAGCATAAATTTCTGTAAAGTATAATTCACAGTTCTATAACCATTTATATTTTCCTACTTTAAATTTTTCCATACATTAAATCATAAAATTCATGCAAGTTAAATTTTCATTGGTTAAATACCTATACACATCAGAGTGAGCTTTGACAATTTTATAAATTTAATTTAAAGGAATCATTATTTTCAGATTAAGTATAATATTTTTAAATGCTTACTGTGTCAGGCACAGTATTAACCAAGCATTTCCTTTAACTTTTACTATAACCCTATGTCATAGGTACAGTTTAATTCCCACTTCACAGATGAGGGAACTGAAGAATGTAGAAGTTAAATAATTTGCCCAAAGTGATACCCCTACCTAGTAAGTAAAAGAGCTTGGGCCTATATCCAAATTATATGCATAAAGATCATGTTATACTGCTTTCAAAGGTATCAACTAATATATGAAGTATCATGTGCTCAAATTTTACAAATAGACAAAAGATGGAAATGGAAGGCAACATTGCTATGTAATTATATAAAAAATAAGTACACAAAAAAATCATAATACACAAAAAATCATATATATGCTTTGAGCATTATATGCAATGGGCCAAACTGCAGGGCTGTATTATCCGACTGTTCTTTTTTTAAAAATGTTTTTAGTTGTTGATGGATACAATGCATTTATTTTGTTTATTTTTATGTGGTGCTGAGGATTGAACCTAGTGCCTTATACTTACTAGGCAAGCACTCTATCACTGAGCTACAACCCTGGCCCTGTTTTAACTGTTCTTTATTTTGTGTGTGTGTGTATACCAGGGATTGAACTCAAGGACACTCAATCACATCCCCAGCCCTACTTTGTATTTTATTTAGAGACAGGGTCTACTGAGTTGCTTAGTGCCTTGCTTTTGCTGAGACTGGCTTTGAACTCATGATCCTAAGCCTACTGAGTCACTGAGATTATAACCGTGTGCCATGGTGCCTGGGTATTCAACTGTTCTTAATGAACCTCATTTCAAATAGTCTGAAATACTATTGCCTAGATTTGGTAAACAGTGGGTGATTTTACCAAATTTGGCTTTGTTCCAAAGATTCATTCCTATATTCAAGATAATAACTAAGTAAATTAAAATGTTCACTATAATAATAATATTAACATAATAATAATAATTATCAATAAAATTAGGCCAGAGTATCAATAAAGTAGCAATAAAATTAGACCAGAGTACTACAAATAAAATTTCGTTAGCTAAAGAACTATCCAAATTTTTATTATAATAAGATATAACTGCATTTAAAATAGTTTGAAATAAATATCCTGGTCTAGGATTTAAAATCTTTGGTTCTACAAAAGTTTTTTTTTTCTAAATATATAATTCAATTCATATATCATTTAAAAATAGTCCAATCTGCCCAATATGAAGTATCTCAAAAGTTATAAAGAATTATAATAAGCCATATTAACTATGGCTTGACAACAATGGAAAATTATTAGTTCCTAATTAAGAGTATTTTTAAAAGCTAGTAAGCTCTATTACTTATTTACTCAAATAGTAGATATCCTTGAAAATATCTGTAATCTGAAGTATATTATTTAAAACAAGCAAAAATGAAAAATGTCAAAAGAACAATTTGCATCTACTGTACCTTAGCTGTTTCCTTACTGCATATACTTGTTCTATACCCTGTGATACTAATTCTTGAATTTTATGGGCTACTTGAGGATGCAGACGTGATGGCAATGCACAATTCTCATCTCTAACTGTAGTTTCCTCTTCTTCAAGAGAAGACACAGGAAAAGGGGAAGGTGACAAAGGGAGGCAGGAAGTCTCTAATTCGTGATACTGATGAGCTTGCTGTGTAGGTAACTGTACATACCACCTGACAAGAAAGTATTTAAATTATTAAATTTAAATTTTAAAATTATTTAATATCATTAGATAAATGCAGGAATCATAATTAGGTTAATCATTATGGTTTAGATATGGTGTCCCCCAAAAGTTCATGTGTGAGACAGTGCAAGGTTTGGAGGAGAAATGATTGGGTTATAGTCTTAACCTAATCTGTGAATTAATTCCTGGTAGGGATTAACTGAGTGGTAATTGAAGTGGCAGGGTGTAGCTGGAGGAGGTAGGAACTGGGGCATAGCTTTGGAATATATAATTTGTCTGGAGAGTGGAGTCAGTCTCTCTGCTTACTGATCATGATGTGAGCTGTTTCCCTCTGCTGCACTATCCCGCCATGATGTTCAGCCTCACTGTGAGCCCCAAGGAATGGAGCCGGCCTTCTATGGACGAATACCTCTGAAACCATGAGCCTTCAAATAAACTTTTCCTCTCCTAAAATTGTTGGGTCCTTTAGTCACAGACGCAAAAAAACTGGCTAAAACATTCACCAAGAAGAAAACAAAAATTCATCAAGAGAAGGAATATTCTTTTAAGAAAAATTATATATGATTATGCCATACTGAATAAAGTTATTTTGGGGAGACTGAGGGTTGAACCCAGGGGCACATTACCACTGAGTTATATCCCCAACCCTTTAAAAAAAAGATTTGATTTTAAACGGTCTCACAAAGTGCTTAGGGCCTTGAAATTGCTGAGGTTGGCCTTCAACTTGCTATCCGCCTGCCTTAGTCTCCTGAATCACTGGAATTATAGGCATGTGTCACTGTACTTGTCTTATATTGAATATAATTTAAAATGACTTCTGCTTAATAAGATTACCTTTAGACCAATTAAATAAAAATCTTTATAAATCTTTATAGACTTTCACTATGGCAGGATGATGCATGGATTTAAAAAATACACGAAAAGCATATTACAAATTTTTAAATTTTTTTTAGATGTTGATGAACCTTTATTTTATTCATTTACTTATATGCGGTACTGAGAATCGAACCCAGTGCCTTACACATGCGAGGCAAGCACCCTACCACTGAGCCACAACCCCAGCCTATAAATTTCATATTAAGCAAATTTTACTCCCAAATACAGAGACAACATTGTAAGTTGTTTAAACTATGTATTTTCCCATTTATCAAACATTTGTTCCATATTACATTTCTGTCATTTCCCTACCACCCATCAATCAATCAGAGTGGATTTTAATTCAGAGTCTATCAAGATTGAACTGTATGGGAAGATCTTTCCCCACAGGAGCTCAATATACTGTGGCTACAACATTCCCAGCTCCTCCTGCCCCATGAGCAAGAAAATGAACTAAAAGGTGAATATAAGTCTACTGAACATCAGTATAAAAATAGTTACTAGGAAATAAACTGATCTGGTAGGATACTGTTTTAATAAATATTTTGGCACAAAATTTTTATATTCTGATATTAAATAAAATGAAGTCTACTTTAAGTTACATACAATGTTCTCCAACTTGAAGGATCTAACTAACTCAATTCACTTCCATACACTTGAAAGTTTTTATTAAAGATCACACAAGGGTTTGGAAGTGTAGCTCAGCAATAGAGCACCTGTCTAGCATGCATGAGGCTTTGGGTTTAATCTCTAGCATTTCAGGAAGAAAAAAAAAAAAGAAAAACTAAGGTCACACAAAAACTATTTTCCCTACACTTGATCTCATAATGTGTTACCTACATTGACACAAAGGAAAGTAAGCAAGAAAGCTATTATTTCTTCCTAATTAAAATCTGAAGGATAAAATAGAATTTCTATATTTAGGGCTTAGAATTCATTTAAGGCTGCAAGAGTAATCAAAGATGGGTGGCTACAGTGGTTACAAATTCTACTCTTAATAAGTATCTGAAACAAAATACTAAATATATAATAAAACATATTACTAAATATGTATTTGTTACTTTTACGAGGGGCGTTAAATATGGGTGTATGGTATAATTCTTTGGTTCAAATTATCTACAATTATCTATAATATTATAAAACTTTACAAATTATGCAAGGAAAATGAGATGTCTACCTTATAAAATGATTTATTTTTCTTTCTTTTTTTTTCTTTTTTCTTGCAGTGTTATGGATCACACCTTAGGCCTTGTGCAATCTAAGTAAGTGCACTACCACTGAGCTATACCCCTGGCCCTAAAACCATTTCTCAGTGAAATAATTGAAAAACAATATAATGTAAATTACAAAAGAATTATTGGAAATGGAGCTAATTAATTAGTAAATAAAAGAATTATATAAATGTTATACCTAAGAACACCACCAGCATCTACCAAGTTCTTCTTTAGCATATTAAAAGCTTTCTCCTGTTCCATTCTGATTATTTTCTTGTCAATTTTGGGGTCTGTAGGTACTCTATATTCAGGAAACTTCTGTACCTTTTTAATGTAAATCCTTTATTTAAGATAAAGAAAAATCAGTTTCATTATATTATAATTACAAGAAAATCTAACTTATCAACCAATGTTTAAACATTTAAATTTAGAGAAAGTTCAATTTATCTAGAAAGTATCCAGAGGCTTTTGAAAGATAGGCCATGTTTTAAGTGCATGATACTTAGTAAATTAACAATAATTAAGACTTGAATAAAAATAACCAAATATTTTTAGGTTACTTTTTGGATTTGCCTCTTCTCATTCTCCTGGAAGCCATAATTACCTTATGCCTGGACTGCTTTAATGGCCTTCTTGTAGACTGCTGTGTCTCCAGTTTTCATTATTTATATTCACTTGATACATCAGTACCTCAATAATTCTTCACATTTGTATTCCTCTATTGAAGAATCTGCCTGTTTTTTAATCAAGTATAAATTTCTTGGCAACACTGAAGGCATTCTGAATAATTCTACTTTATTTACCTAATCTTACAATTACTTCAAGTATAAAATTTCTTGTCCCATGAAGTTCATCTTCTCCATGTCCTGTCCTCCTCTGATATGGTATATGCAATTGTCCCATATCTTTATTTATATGGTTCTCATAGACTGCAATATCTTCCCTCTAACTTTCTAACCAAATTCAATCTAAATTTCAGCATCCAGGTTAGAATGCACTTTCTTTCCTGCTATGAGTTTGCATGAATAGATTGCTTTTCTGAGAACCTACAACAGGTAGCTAATCATACATTTCATATTATCTTGTTCTCTCTCTCTTTTTTAAGCTGCTTAATCTTTATATGTTGTAGGTGGACACAATACCTTTATTTTATTTTTATGTATGCTGAGGATCGAACTCAGTATCTCTCGAATGCTAGGCGAGCACTCTACCACTGAGCTATAACCCCAGCCCCTATCATGTTTTCTTAACAATTTGTTTCCTGATCCACCCCAATAATAGTTTTGGTTGTGTGGGATTAAGTAAAATCTATTCCTTTTGAATTTCCTCCTTCTTCTGACACCCAAAATAGTTTCTGGGCACAGAGTAGATACCGTAAAAGTACTTAGAGAATGATTGAGAATAAAATTAGTTATTTACATCTAGAGGTTTTCTTCCCAATTAAACTTTAAGTTTTTGAATTGCTTATATTTAAAATGCATTTTTATCTCATAGTCATGCTTGAATATTCCATAAAGTTAACATGAAAGTAAATATGAAATGCCTCTAAATGGTGTTTTAAAACTTCTTGAGAATGTTGAAGTTTGTAATATAAGATGTTATGCTAATAATGTTTCAAAGATCAACTAAGGCCAACCATTATATATTATCATTTGTCTTATTCTGTTTTTATCACAGAGTCTTGCTATGTTGCCCAGGCTGACCTAGAACTCCTGGGCTCCAATAATCCTCCCATTTCAATCTCCCAAGTAGTTGGGACTACAGGCATATGCCACTATACCCACCTCATATTATCATTTAAATTTTACTTTGCTAGTAATTTTAAATACTTATAATATCTAAAAGAAAAATATTAGTTAAAATCTTTCATTGCTTCATATTTTTCATTCTCACCTAGAGTAATGACTACCTTGTTACCCATGTTCTATCTAAAACTTACAATGTTGATTTCATACATTACTGGTATGAATGTATTAGTAAAATCTCTTTAAAAAACAATTTTGCAATACTTGTCAACATTTTAAAATGATATAACTTTGTTCCAGTAATTTCATTTCTAGGAATTTATCTTACTGATAAGCATGTACAAGTACACAAATATGTATGATGTTGTTAACTACAGATTTGTATGCAACAATAAAGAATATTTTTCATAGCATATATGTCCATCATTAGAGAATTAATTAAATAATGCACCCACAAATGAAAATATTACATAGCATTAAAAAGAAAGAATATTCTTTTGTACATGTCATAACATTCACAGTGGTATGTAGCATGATATCTGTGCACTAGATATAACTATAGGCTTTCAGATTGTAAATAAATTAATGTGAATTCATAGTAGTAAAGAAGGTATATTATCACCCAACTTTAAGGGAAGAAAATATTTATGAGGATGAAAGGTGAGATACACACAGAATACCTTTGTAAGATGACTTTACAAACTGGCCTTAAAGAGGGACACAGAGCAGAAGTGAGAGAGAACTTCGGATTCACTGTATACCTTTTGGCCTTGTTTAATCTTAATAAATATGCCCATATTTTCAATTCAAAAATAAGGACTTAATGAAAAATAAAAGAAAATTAAGCTTACCTGGCTGGACAAGTAGCTTTGTAGAGCTGACATGACCTGCTTTCCTGCTCACTGATTTTTTTTAACTGGAAACCTTTCCTTCTTGGCCCGTACTGACACTCCATTACCACAGCTCTACTCCCTGTAGGCCAAAACCAACTATTGATATTAATTCAAGTGTCTACTCTATACACTAGATTAAAAATAACTAGGTAAAGACAGTGTTAAAATCTATATTTTTAATTATACAAATTAATGGAAAGAAAACATTAGTATGTTTTACTAAGATGTACGAACACAAATTTAAAAGTTTATTATAATAGGGCTGGGGCTGCAGCTCATTGGTAGACAGCTTACCTAGCATGTGTGAGGCAATGGCTTCAATTCTCAGCACCATATAAACAAAATAAAGGTCCATCAACAACTAAAACAAAAAATTTTTAAAAAGTTTATTATAATATTTAGCAAATGTCCGTAATTATGGTAAGGAAAATTGGCAAACATCACATTTACTGAATGTCTACTGATAACTTAGACACATGATTTTTAGTAATAATAAAATGAACCACTTTATGTAAATAGAAATTAGCAAATGCTAGATTTGGTTAATAATGATATCGCTTAAAATTTTTATTTCCTTTTATAATTATTTATTTTCTTCTTTTTATTTGGCTGTTAGAATCCTATAGTAAGCAGCCTCTAAGATGGCCCCAAGGATTCCTGCCTCCTAGGATTCATTGCCTTGTGTAATTCACCCACTCTACCCAGCATGGACTGGACTTATCAACTTACTTCTAGAGAATGTGGCAGAAGGGACAGGATGTTATTTTTTTTTTTATAAAGTATTTATTTTTTAGTTGTAGTTGCACACAATACCTTTATTTTATTTATTTATTGTTACATAGTGCTGAGGATCAAACCCAGAGCCCCACATGCCCTAGGCAAGCGCTCTACTGATGAGCCACAATCCCAGCCCCAGGATGTTATTTTTGATAATATTAAGTTAAAAGACCCTAACTTCATGAGGCAGTACCATCTTGTTAAGTTGCTCTTGGATTCGTGACCCTCAGAAACTGAGATAATGTTTGTAGTTTTCAGCCATCAAGTTTGGGATAATTTGTTACATAGCTATAATACAAATAAATATAAATGAAAACTATATAGCTTAAGAGTTTAAGGTGAATATCCTACTCTACTATAGGATATAGCAGACTTTCAAAATATAAAATAAAAAAGTCAACAAAAATATTGATAAAGCTGATGTCAAATTTAAAACTTATTAATAATAATACTGTTAACTTTCTCCTTTTACTTTAACAGTATGAGAAACATCCTACTTTAATTTTTTTTAAGTTGTCAATGGATCTTTTTTTTATTTATTTATATGCAGTGCTGAGAATTGAACCCAGTGCCTCACACATGCTAGGCAAGTGCTCTACCACTGAGCCACTACTCCAGCCCCAAGAGAAATACTACTTTATAATACATTTAACAAAGAATTTCAATGAAAAATATAAAGAACCAGAAATCCTTTCAAAAACTAAAGAAATTAAAGGAATAGCCAAACAGAAAACTGGGCAAAGTCTATGAATAGGCAGGAATAAAGGGAGGAAGGAAGGAAGGAAGGAAAGAAAGAATAAATGTACAAATAAAAAATATTCAACTTAATTAATAAGCAAGGAAATGCACATCAAAATAATTGTAAAATACTATCTCACATTCCTCATATTAGCAAAAATAAAAATGTTTAACAATACTCCAAAATAATTCACTGATCAGTCTGAACACCACAAATAGGTACATAGGTAGCTATCTGAAGTACATAGCACACCTAACCCTAATCCTAACCCTAACCCTAACCCTAACCCTGCCACTTGCATGAGTCCCCTTCACTGCCTGAAACTTGTGGCCTGGCAGTTAACATGGGATTTGCTCCAACCCAGCCACGAGTGGTCCCCTCCCTTCTCTCTTCATATAGGTAGCTATATGAAGTACACAGCACACCTATAAAGAAATTAAAGGAATAGCCAAACAGAAAACTGGGCAAAGTCTATGAATAGGCAGGAAGAAAGGGAGGAAGGAAGGAAGGAAAGAAAAAATAACTGTACAAATAAAAAATATTCAACTTAATTAATAAGCAAGGAAATGCACATCAAAATAATTGTAAAATACTATCTCACATTCCTCATATTAGCAAAAATAAAAATGTTTAACAATACTCCAAAATAATTCACTGATCAGTCTGAACACCACAAATAGGTACATAGGTAGCTATCTGAAGTACATAGCACACCTATGAGGTATTCTTGCAAAAACCAAACCTGCATTTAATCAAGGTTCTAAATCTTTTTTTTTTTTTTTATTTTTTTTTTTTTAATATTTATACTTTTTTTAGTTCTCGGCAGACACAACATCCTTATTGGTATATGGTGCTGAGGATCGAACCCGGGCCGCACGCATGCCAGGCGAGCGCGCTACCGCTGAGCCACATCCCCAGCGCCCAAGGTTCTAAATCTTACAGTTAATAGAAACATGGGAGATAAAAGGATGTGATAAACTACACCACAGAAACAGAATCAGCAAAATCCAGAATACAGCAAACTCTATAGGACAAACTGCCTGAGGGAAAGAGAGAGAAATCTTTAGATGAAAATAAATTTATAACATACTATGTGCTTTAGTAATTATACATGATATAATCTCTGGAATTTGCTGTAAAACCATCTGGGGGAATAAAGAAGTGAGTAGAGGTATAGATGAAATGAGGCTGACCATATGCTGATAGTTGAAGCTGAAGCTACATAATAAATAAGATACTCATACTTTGGGGGATTTCTTCTTCCTTTTCTCCCCCCCCCCCCAGTACTGGATATTGAACCAAAGGCCTGGTACATGCTAGGTAAATATTTTGTAACTGAACTATGTCCTAGATTTCACCTCCTCCCTTCTATTTTTGAGACAGGGTCTTCCTAAGTTGCCCAGGCTGGTCTCAAACATGATATTCCTGCCTCAGTCTCCCACATAGCTGGGATTACAGATATGAACGACCACTGCATAGAGTCTTGGGGCTTCTTTTTTGATTGATTTTTTAAATATATGACAGCAGAATGCATTACAATTCATATTACACATATAGAGCACAATTTTTCATATCTCTGGTTGTATATAAAGTATATTCACACCAATTTGTGTCTTCATATATGTACTTTGGATAATGATGTCTATCACATTCTGTCATCATTTCTAACCCCCTGCCCTCTCCCTACCCCTCCCACCCCTCTGCCCTATCTAGAATTGAGTCTTGGAGTTTCTTATGTCATCTTATGTATATTAATGTGTGTGTACATTAATACACACACAAAAATATAAATATTTTTTAAAGTCTGGCAATGCAAAGTCATGGACTAAATGTGGGAAAGAAAAATTTTCATACATTGGTGACAAGAGTGAAAATTAGTTATAAGCAAATCTAAAATCTAAAAAGCTCAGAAAACAGTATTTTTTGGAATTCAATTGATTGTAAAACCTGATCTAAACTATGTGAAGCTATTTATAGTTCTTATTCCACTTACAGTGACTATCCTTAAGGAATTATTATTTGATTATGTGATGGTTTCTTTTTTACAATTATTATTTTAGTATTTTTAGGTGGACAAATATCTTTATTTTATATTTATGTGGTGCTGAGGATCAAACCCAGTGTCTCATGCATGCTAGGCGAGCACGCTACCACTTAAGCCACATCCCCAGGCCCCTCTTTTTTTGTAATATTTATATATATATATTTTTTTAGTTGTAGTTAGACACAATACTTTTATTTCACTTACTTATTTTTATATGGTGCTGGGGATTGAACCTAGGGTCTCGTGTGTGCAAGGCAAGCACTCTACCGCTGAGCCACAACCCCAGCCCCATATTTGATGTTTTCTATAGGACATTTACAAGGAGTGTTCTATAACATTAGCTTGTTACATTCCCAAAATGCAGAATTTTAAAATCAATCTGGCCCCAGAAGTTTCAGAGCACAGTAATTATTTCAGAAAGCAATTAGAGATAATCTTGCAAAGATGGAAAGGGCATACTTCAGAATCAGCAATTCTACTTTCAGGTATACACTCCCCAAACTATACTTTTCATTAGAGGACATATATTGTGTAAGTTTAACTACTGCATTTTTTAAAAAATATTTTTTAGTTATAGATGGATTTAATATCTTTATTTTGTTTGTTTATTTTTATGTGGTGCTGAGGATTGAACCCAGTGCCTCACATGTGCGAGGCAGGCGCTCTGCCACTGAGCCCCAGCCCCAGCCCCTGCATTCTTTTTTTTTTTTTTTAGTTTTTCGGCAGACACAACATCTTTGTTTGTATGTGGTGCTGAGGATTGAACCCGGGCCGCACGCATGCCAGGCGAGCACGCTACCGCTTGAGCCACATCCTCAGCCCCCCTGCATTCTTTATAATAGCAAAAAGTTGAAAACAAACTAAATGATAGCTAATGGAAAAATAGTCATACACTAGAATATTATAAATTTTAATTAAATTGTATTAACTAGGATCTATAAGCATAAATATGGATAGATCTCAAAATACAAAGGTGAGTGAAAATTTTGCAAAATAATATCTATAGTTTACCTTTTTCTATATTTTTAAATAAAATACATTATTGTAATTATAAATATATAAACACTTAAATTGAAAAGACACAAACCAAGGTTGTCCATCTATAACTATTTAAAAAAAAGAGAGACAAACCAACTTCATGTAATGGCTTTCTATAGAGTTAAGGAGATTAAAATAAGGGAAGGAAAAAGGAGAACTTCATGACTTCAAGTTTGTTATTTTTTTTCTATTATGCAATACTAAGGATGAAACTCAAGACTTCATGCGTGCTGACTTATGCCCTGAGCTACTTCAGGTTCATTTTTTTTTTAGTTGTAGATGGACACAATACCTTTATTTTATTTATTTACTATGTGATGCTGAGGATCAAACCCAGTGCCTCACATGTGATAGGGAAGTGCTCTACCACTAGTCTTTCACTAGTCTGTCACTAGTCGACCAGTGGGTCTGATCTGAATTCAACCAGTATATAAGATGGATATTCTTCAGGTAGAGTATTAAATAAATGGACCCAGCCCCCAGGTCCATTTATGTATTTATTTTTTGTTGTTGTCAATGGACTTCTATTGAACCCAGTGCCTTACGCAAGCTAGGCAGGTGCTCTACCACTGACCCACCATCCCAGAACCCCCAAGTTTCATTTTATGCTTCATTTCTTTTTAGAATACTGATGAAACCCAGGCAGTAGTAGTTATTTTTATCTTATCTTCATTTAAATATTTTTTTGTTTAAGTGCTGGGGATAGAACCCAGGGCCTCATGAATACTAGACAAGTGCTGGATCACTGAGCTATACCCCCAGACTTAAATATTTCCTATTAATCTCAGAGGTCCAGGATGAGACTGCAACTCTTACAGTTATATTAGTGTTCCCATAAACTTGAATTAAATCACTTATTTTTACGTTCTTTGGAGTGTGACTAGTCCTACAGTAGTTTAGAGATTGCTTGAAACTCTACTACCTTAGTAAACTACACAGTATCTAAGAATACTATAACACACCAAATGCTTGAGAACTTTAACATCAAAATTCTATATATTAAATTCAGACAATATACAAATCCTATATAGTAACTACAGGGTTATAAGCTACATAAAATGAATACAGATTTGTACTAAAAGACAAATTAAGAAAGAAGAAAGCCAGGCACAGTGGCGCTTGCCTGTAATCCCAGTTTAGGAGGCTGAGGCAGGAGAATTTTGAGTTCAAAGCCAGCCTCAGCAACTCAGTGAGGTCCTAAGCAACTTAGTGAGACCCTATCTCTAAATAAAATATACAAAGAGCTGGGGATGTGGTTCAGTAAGCACTCCTGGGTTCAATCTCCAGAACCCAAAAAAAAAAAAAAAAAAAAAGAAAGAAAAAAGAAGGAGAGACTATATGGATTGGAGGAGGGAACCGCAATAGATATGCACATTTAAAATAATTGGATATCTTTTTATATTTTATTAAAAAGGTCTACTCAATATTTTTATTTTCTATTTAAAAGCATAATATATAAAGGAAGCAGTATCTCTTCACTTGTTATGACATAAAGTAATTGATTATATATTTTAAAATTTTTTTGTAGTTATAGATGGATAGAATGCTTTATTTTATTTGTTTATTTTTATATGGTGCTAAGGATCATACCCAGTGCCTCACACATGTGAGGCAAATGCTCTTCCACTAAGCTACAGCCCCAGCCCAAGTAATTGGTTAYATTTAATATAAATTTTCTTTTTAGTTTAATGTATATTTTCATCAATTAACATTCAGTTGTTACCTACCAAAATGAAATTGTAACACCAGAGAAAAATCACATTATCATAGTGGACTATAGCTGCTAATGAATCTTTTAAAATAATTATTTAAAAAAGTACCTGCGTTGACAAATGGAATTCCATCATATGGAACATATTGGGATTTCCACATCAAGCGTGTAGCAGGCTTGGCTGGGCTTGGAGACTGGCGGGTCCCCCAAACACTCTGTGTTTGCTGCTTGTGAAATGTTAGGATACTTTCTAATTCAGTTTCACTTACACAGTAGCCACGGTATGAATCTCCAATTTTCTGCATGTGGTAGAAAGAAATTAAATAACAAAATTATTAGCAAATATGGTAAATTATAGAGATGGCTGTCCAAGACCAAAGACTTATCAGCTTTCATAGGAGAATGTCTTTTGTTCCCTCAGATCACTAATCTGTCACTAGTCGACCAGTGGGTCTGATCTGAATTCAACCAGTATAGAAGATGGATATTCTTCAGGTAGAGTATTAAGGAATATAACGCCAAATCCACTGCCACAGCATCTTTAAAAAGTCTTGTTTGAGAGAAATAATGCTGACAGAAAACAGCTTGAAGAATATGTAATGTGCCCATTCTTCCATATATTTAAAATTCTGCTGGATGAAATCCAGATAAGCATAAAACTAGCCACAAAGTACTAGTCCTTGGGGAGCTTAATTTTTTTTTTTTAGTTGTACAAGAACACTATACTTTTTTAAATTTATTTTTTGTGGTGCTGAAGATCGAACCCAGTGCCTCACATGTGTGAGGCAAGCACTCCACCCCTGGCTACAACTCCAGCCTGTGGGGCTTCTTTTAACTAAGATTATTTTTGAAATGATCCTGTTAATCTATTTGAGACCCTATGAAAATTGTGATTGTATCTCCTATAAAAATGCCGCAAAATAATTTTCTCATTACATAAGATTTTTTTTTTTTTTTTTTTTKTGGTGCTGAGGATCAAAATCCAGGTCCTCAAGCATGCTATGCAAGGTCTCTACCACTAAGCTACATCCTCAGACAGCTCAACATTCTTTTTATGAAGATCCTTCTCTGAGATAAATTCCTGTTTGACTTATTGGGTAATGAGAAAAGACAATGAAAGCAATATTTTAAAATAAGTCATTTTAGGGTTGGGGTTGTGACTCAGTGGCAGAGCCCCCACTTAGCAAGTTCGAGGCCCTGGGTTCGATTCTCAGCACACATTTAAAAAACCAAATAAATAAAATAAAGGTATTGTGTCTATCCACAACTAAAAAAATAAAAAATAATGTTATTTTAGAAAAATACAAATTAAGATCTAGAAATGGAAGAGTCAAGGAGACTAGGGGGAGTCTCTAACTGTGACTAAGTACAAAATAACAATGTCTATGGAAGAATGTGGGGTGGAAAGAATCTTTAAAGGAAAAACTTTTTTTAAAATTTTTTTTAGTTATAGGTGGACACAATACCTTTATTTTTTAATTTTTATGTGGTGCTGAAGATCGAACCCAGTGCCTCAAGAATGTGAGGCGAACACTCTCCCTCTGAGCTAGAATCCCAGCCCCAAAGGAAAAACTTTTAAAAGAACCAAGTAGGTACCTATTAATCTATTTGAGACCCTATGGGAAAGGAAGAAAATTGGTCTAAAACTTCATACCTGAGTGTCTAAGAAATGGTATTTATCATTAAACAGAGAATTTAGGAGCTAGTAATGGTATGGTATACAGTGAATTTGAGGTAAAATTCAAATATAGGTTCAATTAAGAAGCCAGAGATTTGAAACAAGAACAAGAATTAAGGAACTGGTGACAGGTTTAGGAATCATTTTATAAATGTAAGACTTAAAAGTCAACAAAACAGATAAGTCCTCCAAGAAATAAAATGTTAAAAAAAAAAGAAGGCCAAAGTGGGCCTTGAAGAATTTCTAACATGAAGTAAGTACAAGCAAAGAAAGTGAAGGAACAGTCCAAAAATTTAAAATAGAGGAAAATGATAGTGAAATTTCATTGAAGACAGGTGAAGAGAGTTGCAAGAGAAGGAACAATAGTGAAGTGTGAAGGGATTTATATAACCTTTGCCTTACAAAGCTTAAAATTTCCAGCACGGTGGTGCACACCTGTAATCTCACCAGCTAGGGAAGCTGAGGCAGGAGGATCACAACTTAAAAGCTAGCCTCAGCAAAAGTGAGGCAGTAAGCAACTCAGTGAGACCCTGTCTCTAAATAAAATACAAAATAGGGCTGGGGATGTAGTTTAGTGGTTGAATGCCCCTGAGTTCAATCCCCAGTACTTGACCCCCTGCAAAAAAAAGCTTAAAATTTCTAAAGGATAATAGATGAGATCTTATTTAATATAAACATAGACAAGGGATAACAGATACAGCTTTATTAGCTATACCTGAAAGTGAGCATTTTGGGATAAAATGTGATAAATAACCAGTTAAATAATTCTGGGTAAGGATTATTATTTCTTTTTGTAGGTGGACAGAACACCTTTATTTTACTTATTCATTTTTATTTGGTGCTGAGAATCAAATTCAATGCCTCACACATGGGAGGCAAGCGCTCTACCATTAAGCCACAAACCCAGACCTGGTAAGGATTATTTTTAACTCACCTCACAGCTCCTAAGTCGGCAGGCCCATATAGGTGTGTTAGAAGAAAGTGGTTGAAGAGGAGCCAGCAAAGGTTCTTCAAGCATTCTGGGAAGGAATATATATATATATATATATACACATATAGTTCTAAACATATCTACACACAAAACACATTCAATTGCTTCATCTATGTAGCCAGTGTTAAAAATAACATATTAAGATCATCAATAAAAAATTATAACAATAACTACAGACTTATTAGATGACTTATTAATTATCATTTTCCTTAATAATTGCTATTTTCTTTTCGCTTTTCCTTAATAATTGCTATTTTCTTTTCGCTGAAAGGCCAAAGTTTGTTCTTCCACGTACCTGTAGTCTCCTCAAATTTAATTATTTCATATCTCTTCCAAATCTTATTTTGTACTCTTATTATATAATTATTTTCTATTTATAAAAAAATGAGCTAATAAAATATCTTCAGGTGACATGTTAAGAGTAATATTATATAAGATCTAAGATTAGGTGTCATAAATATTGTCTTATTTCAAAAACACTTTTATAGAACAATTAATGTAGAGATACATAAAAATATACCTTAAATATTTTTCTAAATTATAAGCAGTGTTATTTTAAGGCAAAAATAAAAACTAAAAGAAAAGTTAGTAAAAAGATTTGCAAACTTTGACAAAGAGGAAATGCATGATAAAAATGTGATGAGGGCTGGGGCYAWAGCTCAGTGGCAAAGTACTTGCCTAGCATGTGTGAGGCACTGGGTTCAATCCTTGGCATCCCATAAAAATAAATAAAATAAAGGCAATTCTGACCATCTATAACTATAAATTTTTTTAAAGTGTAATGAAACCATTAAAGATGTTTAGGACCTACAATGGATATCTTCAGTCTTAAAAACTCTATTAGACACTTTCATGTTACTTAGAAAGATAACAGGCAAGTATTACTGAGGAAGAGTAGCATTTTTGACATTTATGGCATCTAGAGCAGCCTTGTTCTTTGCAAGAAGCCATTAGAATAGTTAGAAACATTTACAGAGAGTTTCTTTTTTTCTGAATTTCTGATCTTTTCTATTGTCAGCCAGTTTTAAATGTGATAATTTTTTTAAAAGGATTTCCATGGTTATATCAAAAGATGAGCTCCTCTTTCCCACTGATTCACCTGGTTGCTGATTTTTTGGGCAAACCAAGAGATGCTTGTGGATGAAGAATGTAACTACTGGTGTTGTCTGCTGGAGCATCCACTCTTACAGCTGGTAAGTTTCTATCACTGGGTTTCTCTTCAGAGACATCTTAACAAAAAGAACAAGAAAATGTGACATCAGTATCTTGAATAATATCATGAGACTGTACCTACGGTAGAACTTAAATGTTTATAATAGGAAAAAGAAAGAAGTGCTCTGAAGCTAAAGATAACAAAACTTAAGATGCTTTATTGAGAATGACTCTGATACTCCTATTTATATTTAACTTGTAAAATTGACTATTGAAATTTTATAATTGAATTTTTGGAACTTATATTGTACATCTAGGATATAAAAGTGGTAAAAATTGTTATATTAAAGAGTTTTACAATATAATAAGAACATGTAAAACTTTCTTGTATATTGTGTTTATAATGGTTTTTGCAAACTATGTTTTTTCCTTAACTTTTAATGACTGCTAACAAAGACAAAGAATCATAAAAAGAAGGTAAACATATCTACTTTACATCATTAACTAGGAAGGAGCAACAAAACAATGTCGCTATAATATTAGAAAAGAGATTAAAATAGATAAAAAAGGGAGGGAAATAAAAGGAAGAGAACTAATAGGGATATTATCAAACATGTAAAGAAAGAATATTTGAAAATAAATGGGGAGCATGATTCTCCTTTCTGAATTTGAAGGAATAAAGGAAAGAGGATAAAAAAATTATAGTTAAGTAATGAATCACATAACAAAATATTGATAAAAATGCAAATGTAAAAACTTCCTGTAACTAAACACTGTATTCTTGTTATTATTGTTGTTATTATAATTAAGAAAAATTTATTTTATGCTCACTGGTCATTTGGGAGGAAGCAGGAGTCAACCAGCTTCATAGAATTCCAATATGAAATAGACAGCTAACCTAGACAGGAGTTGAAAAATGAACTTGAAATTTATTTGAGCTAAGAAATTTTTTCTAATTATTCAGTTCATAATCTTACCTAAAGAGATCAGTGTTAACACTGACTTTCATAAGATGATTTCATACTATATATTTGTGCCTTAAAACATTCTCAAATCCCTTATATCCCAATATTACTTACCCTGAGGACTATTTATATCTGCAAGCTGCCCCTGTGGTATAATCATTTGTGCCATTCCTGATTGGGTAGATGGAATTACACGAAGCACCTGTCCATTTTCTGATGGGCTAGCAACGATCATCTTGGAAGCATTAAACAAACAAACAAAAACAAATGCATATGCCTACAGTGGTTTAACAGAATGATTACTTAAGTAAATTATTAAAACACATAACTACCCCTATGATCAATATTATTTCCCCCATTTTACAGATGAAACATTGAGACAAAAAATCTTTCCCAAGTTCTCACAAGTGATAAATATTGAAGCTAGGATTCAAAAAAGGCAGTTTGACCCAACAGCCTATGTTTTTAACCACCCATGGTCTTAATAATTATAGTGCATGCATAAGGTCCAATTACCTAGTAATCTGAACAAGGCTCTGATTGAACTTAACACATTTAACAAATTTGTGTGGCAATTACCTGTTATATATTTTAAGTCATTTTCATTAGTTTCAAACTGTGAATTTGTTAGATGTCTAACTAAACAAGATTTATTTTTTATTTCTGCACTTGTATACCTGTCTGGGTCCATAAAGAACACTATGGAGTGCCCCATAGGAATTTATTATACTTTTTATTTTAGTTTAACAATTGAACCCACTGTCTCAAATTTAGAGGAGTATTAACTAAAAAGGCATGTGAAATTGAAGAAAAACATTCGGAGTCTACCATTTGACAATATAGCTAACATACTACTGAAAATACATTTCTGGACTACGTATAAACTTTATTACCTAATCCTGGTTTCTTATTGGCAGTTTTACTGTACTACTCAGTCTTCTGACCTCTCTGGTACAGATAATTTAATCATTGAAACCCATTCTCCTAGATTTACTCCTTATTATGTAGAACAGGAGAACATTCCTGATGTTTGATGGAGACTGCATCCTAAGTTTAAAAGGGTCATTTGAAAAAAATGTGAATTTAAATTAGACAAAAAATGAATTAGGAGGGAAAAACTTCAGCATAATAGAATACTTTAAACAAAATCATAAATTTTTCCCAGAAATTATTCTTCCCCCAGTGTTTATCAAATTTCTTGAAATAAAAATATCTTGCCATACCTCTTATGACTTCAACATGAAAAAGCAGTTGTAAACTCTGGTGTTAACAACTGCTTACATTTGTTGAGTGCATACTAAGTGACAGGACTTCAGATATATTAATTAATTACTTCCTTTAATCCTCATCACATATATGTGAACTATATATACTTTATAAATGAGGAAACTATCAAACAGAGGTTATATAATGCATGCAAAATTACACAGAACTATTTAGTAGTAAACTAAACTTTTAGAAGCAAGTTAAATTTCAAATCCAAGTAATTGGATTCCTTATAAACAATCACTACTCCGTACTGCCTCTCAATATTTGAAGCAAAAACAACAATATAAAAAATCTTGATGAACTTAAAAGGCACTAGCAATAATATTGTTTTAAATTTTTTCCCCTTACAAGATTAAACACCTGTGAAAAAAATGACTTCCTTCACTCTTAGAAAATAAAAGTGCTGCATTATTTTAAATCAAGTTAAATACATGTAATTTTTCATAATTTACCTAATCATATGAAAAATTTTTTATTAAGACACCTATGGAACAACTACAGGTGTTAATTTTGAAACCACTTCCCAAGCACAGTGAAAGTCACTTTCATTTACCCTCTCTTTTGCTTATTTCACCTGGTACCTAAAAAACTATTTCCAATTCATGTAATTTGACAATGGTGATTATAACATTATTTTCCTAATTAAAAAAATAACTAATTATATTTAATCTTTGCTATGAAAACAAACAAGTTTAAAGAGTCATCTGTGGCAATATCTATTTGAGGCAGACCATAAAAATAAATAAAATTAATAAAAATATTAATCTTAGTTGAGTAGTCTTATACTTAATGATCTCTTTGTGTATAATAGTTCCAACAAACTCAAAATATCAACACTACTTTACTCCAAAATCTCATCTATTTCATAATTATTCACACAGAATCTTTACTAGTTCCATGATAGCTTCTAAATAAAAATAATCATATGGGAAAAATTCTATTGCTTTCAAAAAGTTCCACTTGATGGGAGATGTTGATAATGAGAGAGACTATGCATATGTGAGGACAGGGGCTATTTATGCAGAAATATCTGTCCCTTCCACTTAATTTGACTGTGAACCTAAAACTGCAGTAGTCCCAGTTACTCAGGAGACTGAGGCTGGAGAATTGTTTAAGCCCAGTAGTTCCAGACCAACGTGAGCAATATAGTAAGATACTGTCTCAAAATAAATAAGTAAACAAATAAATAGTTGATTAAAGCAAACAAAATAATGCATAAAGCTCCAGTAAGTTTCCCAGAATATCACATTCTGATCTTCTGGACATGAAAAATTAAATGCCATTGTTTTCCCAGGTGCAGTGACACATGCCTGTAATCCCAGAAGCTCAGGAGGCTGAGGCAGGAGGATTAAGAGTTCAAAGCCAGCCTCAGCAAAAGCAAGGTGCTAAGCCACTCAGTGAGATCCTGTCTCTAAATAAAATATGAAATAGGGCTGGGATGTGGCTCAGTGGTTCAGTGCCCCTGAGTTCAATCCCCGGTACCCTTGCCAAAAAGAAAAAAATAAAAATAAAATAAAATGCCATTATTTCACATATAAATTATTTGTTGTATCTTAACCTCTGCTGGTGATTCAGTATGGTTTTAGAAGCTTATCCCTTCCAGTCCTGGCATAGGCCCAGAAATATATCAAGTCTAAATAGAAACAGAAAGGACTTCTTAGAGAAGTTCAGTGCTAAAGTTCTAAAGCACCTGCCTAACACGCACAAGGTCCTGGGTTCAATCTCTAGCACTAGGGACAAAACAAACAAACAAACAAACAAAAAGGTGTCCTCTACACTTAGCTACATCCCCATCAATTACTATCCACTCAAGAATCTACACTCAATTTAGCAGACTCAGCAAGGAGCAAAATGTCATAAACTCTCGGATACTCTAGGAACAGAAACAAGGATTAGTTCTAGATAACATGGCTGTTTCCCTGTGATATAATATATAACTGAAGTTATTATGCTTTTAAAAATAATTCTTGGGGCTGAGATTGTGCCTCAGCAGTACAGCGCTCGCCTAGTACGGGCGGGACCCAGGTTCGATTCTGAGCACCACATAAAAATAAAGGCATTGTGTTGTGTCCATCTACAAAAAAGATATTCTCTCTCTCTCTCTCTCTCTTAAAAAAATAATAATTCTTATTATGAAAGTAACAAATATACATTGGCGAAGATATGGAAAATTCAGGCAAACAGATGAAACATATTATTCTTCATAGTACTATTTATGTATATATTCTTTTAAAAAATATTTAATTTTTACTTGTAGGTGGACACAATATTGTCATTTCATTTTTATGTGTGCTGAGGTTCAAACCCAGTGCCTCATGTGTGCTAGGTGAGCACTCTACCACTAAGCTACAATCCCAGCCCCTATATATACTCTTTAAAAATATATATATTTATTTTTTAGTTATAGGTGGACACAATATTTATTTTATTTTTATATGGTGCTGAGGATCAAACCCAGTGCCTCATGCATGCTAGTTGAGCACTCTACTTCTGAGCCTAACCCCACCCCCTACCTATACTCTTATTAAACAGAGTTAACTATAAGTTATGAAGTCAAACAACAAGTGCTGGCAAGGCTGTGGGGAAAAGGGTACACTTGTACATTGCTGGTGGGTCTGCAAATTGGTGCGGCCAATTTGGAAAGCAGTATGGAGATTCCTGGGAAAGCTGGGAATGGAACCACCATTTGACCCAGCTATTGCCCTTCTCGGACTATTCCMTGAAGACCTTAAAMGAGCGTACTATAGGGATACTGCTACATCGATGTTCATATCAGCACAATTCACAATAGCTAGACTGTGGAACCAACCTAGATGCCCTTCAATAGATGGATAAAAAAAATGTGGCATTTATACACAATGGAGTATTACTCTGCATTAAAAAATGACAAAATCATGGAATTTGCAGGGAAATGGATGGCACTAGAGCAGATTATGCTAAGTGAAGCTAGCCAATCCCTAAAAAACAAATGCCAAATGTCATCTTTGATATAAGGAGAGCAACTAAGAACAGAATAGGGGGGAAGAGCATGAGAAGAAGATCACCATTAAACAGGGTTGAGAAGGGGGAGGGAAAGAGAGAGAGAAGGGAAATTGCATGGTAAAGGAAGGAGACCCTCATTGTTATACAAAATTACATATAAGAGGAAGTGAGGGGAAGGGGGAAAAAAACAAGAGAGAGAAATGAATTACAGTAGATGGGGTAGAGAGAGAAGATGGGAGGGGAGGGGAGGGGGGGGGGGGGGGGGGGGGGGATAGTAGAGGATAGGAAGGGCAGCAGAATACAACAGACACTAGTATGGCAGTATGTAAAAAAGTGGATGTGGAACCGATGTGAATCTGCAATATGTATACGGAGTGAAAACGGGAGTTCATAATCTGCTTGAATCAAATGTATGAAATATGATATGCCAAGAGCTTTGTAATATTTTGAACAACTAATAAAAAAAAGAATTGTAAAAAAAAGCGATTACAAAAATGTTTTTTGATTTGTAGCTATAAAAAAATAAATAAAAAAGAATGCTTATTCTCTAAAAAAAAAAAAAAAAGAATTTTAATTTCAGGGGCTGGGGCTGGGGCTCAGTGGTAGAGCACTTGCCTAGCATGCGTGAGGCACTGGGTTCGAACCTCAGCACCACATAAACAAAACTAAACAATCAAAATAAGACTATTAAGAAAAAATACTGGGTGAATGTTTATAAGTGTAGGTTTCTCACCCTTAAAAAAAGAATTTTTATTTCAATTTCTTAAATTATGTAACTTGGTCAAAAATACTTTTAGCTAATGGTTTAAATCAGCATTCTTTTTTTTTTTTTTTTTTAAAGAGAGAGGAGAGAGAGAGAGATTTTTCAATATTTATTTTCTAGTTCTCGGCAGACACAACATTCTTGTTGGTATGTGGTGCTGAGGATCGAACCCGGGCCGCACGCATGCCAGGTGAGCGCGCTACCGCTTGAGCCAAATCCCCAGCCCAGCATTCTTATCTTTTTCATTTGCAAGCATTATTATTCATGTGACACATACATATCTACCTACAAATATCAGGAAGGGTGGGTCTAATTTCCAGTATACCAGTTGTATCTCCATTGCTTTCTTTTTCTTTGAGATATCAGCATGTGGCATGTAATCAAAGAATGAGATGTTGATAAACCAATAACTTTGAGTACAATCTAGTGCATATATTGTGAAAAATGTCAGTTTTGTGGAAACATGGGCACTTAGCTCTAGTTACAGATTATGCTGAATTTCCAACTTATCTCAAAGCATCAGTATGCCCAGATGTAAGTGGCTGAGAAGGACTGATTGAATACTATTTGTCTATTTGTAGTCCTGAAAGAAAAGCTTTTAAAAGCCTTACATAAAAAATGAAAAGTCACAGTCAGGAGAGGTGGTGCACATCTTTAAGTAATCCCAGCAACTCAGGAGATTAAGAGAGGAAGATTACAAATTCAAGATTAAGATTAGCTTTAGCAATTTAGAGAAGCCCTAAGCAACTTAGAAAGACCCTAAAAAAAAAAAAAAAAAAAAAAAAAAAAAAAAGGGCTGGTGATGTGGCTCAAGCGGTAGCGTGCTCGCCTGGCATGCAAGCGGCTCTGGGTTCGATCCTCAGCACCACATACAAATAAAGATGTTGTGTCCGCCGAAAACTAAAAAATAAATTTAAAAAATTATATTAAAAAAAAAGGGGGGGGTTAGAGATATACTCAGTGGTAAGCCCTCTGGATTAAATCCCCAGTAACCCCCCCAAAAAAATCATTAGTACAATATTAACACAATAACACAATGTAAGTCAATAGTGTCAAGAAAACAAGGTCATCAATTAATACATTTTGCTAAATAGCATAAAAGTGGTTATTTATAAAATACACTCACCATTTGTCCATTAGAATCCCCCAGTGAATGAAGTTCATATGGAACAGATTGTCCATTTTGATCTACTAGATGGAACTCCTCTGCAGAAAGAGTCTGTGTCTGAGTTAGGGGCCCTGGTATATTCTGTGAAATGAGTGAATTATTTGCTTGAGGATCAGAAATGGGCAAAACTGTAGGAGAATCATTTTGTCCAAAAGAAGAATCCCTAGAGTCCATACAGGTTAGATGCTTTTGTAAAGAAAAAGAAAACAAAACAATTTAGTCTTTGTAAAATATACTGTTACTATTTTTTAAAAAGATGAAAGTGTATAATAAAAATGGTAACTTATTTTTTCAGTTAATTATTCATTTTTGTTTTGCAAGAGTTTTCAATTCACATAAGGTATTTCTCAAGTGAATGTTTAATTTTCATTTTATCTCAATTTTATTAAAATAAATTTTATTAAGATAAAATTGACCATGAGAATGTATCCTAAAATGATATATAATTTAACATACAGATTTTTCTTGCATACAAACTTTTATAAATATGTTAAGCATTACTTTAAGCTTTATATCATAAAATTAAATGTATGACAGAATATGTGGGTAACTAAACATTAAGATTCTTAAACCATTAAATATAATAACTTTTGTTAAGCATAAAAAGTTGCTTAATGAATGGAATCTTGTTTTATCTGAGAGAGGAAAAAAGTTCCCAGCTGAACCTCTACCTCAAATTCCTGAGCCTCTGTTTTTGACTCTTCACCATCATTACAGTTGACTCTTAATGAATCATTAGACTGTTCCATGCTGGCATCATATTCAATTCCATTTTCTCCTACTGTTTAGTAGCTGAAAGAGTTTAAATACATGATCAACTGAGCATTTAACATTTTTATGGAATATTTTATCTTAAACAAATCCCTCATTTTCCCTACTGTGGTACCTTATACCATTTAGGTGAAATCATTTCTATTATGATTATCTATTAATAATAAAGTTAATGTTTTTGTTAAATGACTTGGCAAAGAATTCTGTCTAGAATACATTCAAGAAAGAGTAAAGATTAGGATTTTGTAGTTCCTCATCCTATTCTTAATTATACTCCTATACTGGCTTATTAAAATTGCTTTTGTGTAAGAGGGTTCTTACACCCTTACGAATAATTTTAAGTTATTCACTTCAGAATGATTTAATGCAAATAAAGGATTTTAACTTTATAAATTGGGTATGTCATATTGTCACATTATATAATTTTAGAAAAGATGTCTGACCCAGGTGTGGTGGCACATGTCTGTAATCCCAGCTACTCAGGAGATTGTGTAGATGGGGATTATGTACACAAAAGCCTCCCCTTATTTATGGGGAATATATTCCAAATACCCCTGGGGATGCCTATAATCTCAGATAGTATCAAACTCTATATATGCTATTTTTTCCTATTCATACATATTTAGGATAATATTTAATTTATATACATTTAATTATAACATATAATTTATACAAGAATACATTAACATAACTAAAAATAAAATAGAACAATTTTAACAACATCCTCAGCTGCGTATGGTGGCCCCATCTATAATCTCAACTACTTGGGAGATTAAGGAAAAAAAGATCATGAGTTTGAGACTAGCCTAAGCAACAAATCAAGACTCTGCTTCAAACAAACAATATCCTGTAATACAAGTTATTTAAATCTTATGAACTGTTTATTCCTGGAATTTTCCATTTAATATTTTCAGACCATGGTTGACTGTAGGTAACTGAAGCCATGGAAAATGAACATGCAGGTAAGGAAGAATTACTGTATACATTTCTTACCATTACAAAATAATCACACAAGTTGGTTGGTACCAAAACCAACCAACGTTTAGCTTGGCAAAACGTGGAAAATGAAGAAATATGTATAGAAAATACTTTTGCATCATTAAGACCTAGTAATTTTCATTTGAGATGATTTTTGTAAGGTTATAAAATCAGTCCTATTTTGATATATAAGTATAAATATCTTTAAATTGCTTCTTCTTTAGAATTTTGTTTTATTTTTTTGGTACCAGGGACTGAACCTAGGTCATCACACATACTAGGCAAATGTTCTACCAGTGAGTCACATCCTCAGTTCTCCCTTTAGGATTTTAAATAATCACTTGCATCTTAATCTAATTTATTATAAAAATTCCAAAACAACGTACAGTTACTTCTTGGGTTATAGAAGAGCATTTAAAAAATAGCTTTCCACTCTTTTAAAAATTTTTGTTCACTATATTACTTGAGAATAAAATTTTTTCAAAGAGGTTTTAAGAAACAAAATGAGACTTCTGTTTTTGGAAATATGACAGATTAGATGCTTGTAGAAGATTCTTTTGCTACAAACACCAAGGCTGAGGCAGGAGGATCACAAGTTCAAAGCCAGCATCAGCAATCTAGTAAGGTCCTAAGCAACTTAGTGACATCGTGTCTCAAAATAAAATATTAAAAGGGTTGGAGATGTAGCTCAATGGAAACCACCCCCRCATTCAATCCCTGGTACCAAAACCAACCAACCAACCAAATAAACAAACAAACAAAAAAAACTAAAAAGTTGACCTAAAATATTGTGTGGCTGTCCACTCTATTGTTTTTCAAAAAAAGAAAAGCAAAAGCTGTGAGAATCAACAAGAATAAAATACATAGGAATAAAATTAGCCAAGGAGATTATAAACACTTATACACTGAAACTAAAAAACATTCATGAACATAATTAAAGAAGAAAAAATTTTAGAGCTGGGGGAATAGCTCAGTGGTACAGCACTTACCTATTATCTGTGAGGTCCTGGGTTTAATGAAAAGAACTTAAAAAAAAAACAAACATGGTGCTGACATAAGGATAATACATATCAATAGAATAGGACTGAGAGTCCAGAAACAAATTATTATATTGACGAGTAAATGATTTTTGAGAGGACACCAAAGAATTCAATGGAAAAAGACACTTTCTTCAATAAATGGTGCTGTGGATAAGTGAATATCCACATGAAAAACAATGAAGCTGGCCAGGCACAGTGGCACATGCCAATAATCCTAGCAAATCCGGAGACTGAGGCAGGAGGAAGTTTGAGACCAGCCTGGGCAACTTAGTGAGACCCTGAATTGAGAAGGAAAACAAAAAAAGGGGTCTGGAGATGTAGCTCAGAGGAAGCAAACCCCTGGGTTCAATCCCCAGTACCATAAATAAATAAATAAATAAATAAAAAGGGCAAAGATATTTCTTTAAGAAACATGGTAAAAAAAAAAAAAAACCATGTTGAAATGACCAACAAGCACATGAAAAAAAAAGATTGGTGTCATTAGTCATAAGAAAATTCAAATCAAAACAGTAAGATACCACTTCATTTGCACTAGGACAGTTATATTATACACATACTTAACACATTTAAAAAAATCTATTTTTAGGTATATATTGTTAGAGTTAGACTTATTATAATATGTGTGTGACAATCTGGAAAATATGAATGTGAAAGGATATTTGACAATATTAAGTAATTTTTGCTGTGTTTTTAGGTATATGAATGATAATACAGTAAGGTTAATATTTATGGATAAAATTATATCATGTTATGATGTCCAGGATTTGTTTCAAAGAATATCAAGTTCAGATAAAGTAGTACAATATGAAAAAAGACCACCATACAGTAATAATTGTTAAAGCTGGTAAATGAGAGCCAGGCACAGTGGCATACACCTATAATCACAGCAATTTTGGAAGCTGAGAAAGAAGGATTCCAAGATCAAGGCTAGTCTGGGATACTTAGTAAGAGTCTGCCTAAAAATAAAAATTAAAAAGGGTTGGAAATATAGCTCAGTAGTAAAGCACCCCTGAGAGTTCAATCCCCAGTGCCATAAAAACAAACAAATAAAATTGATAAATGACTAACAGGCATTGGTTTGTTTCTACTTTTGTATATTTTAAAATTTCCCTTTGAAAACATTTTAAAAATGAATATAATTTAGGGCCAAATAGACAAATGCACTGTCAAAGTACAATAGTTCATTATAACTACCTTAAGTTAAGCAAACAAAAAACATGAAAATAAACAGAACAAGCTTGATTGATTGGACATACTTGAAACTCCATTCCTGACAATTAAAGAACGTGTTTCTCTGAACTCATAGAGAACTTCAAATACTATATTGGAAACATAATAAAAATATTACATAACAAAACTTGTTGGAAGGGTCTGGGGTTATGGCTCAATGATAGAGCACTTGGCTTAATATGTGTGAGGCACTGGGTTCAATTCTCAGCACCACATAAAAACAAATAAATAAAATAATTAAAAACTTGTTTGATACAACTAACATAAAATTTCAAGGTAAATTTGTAGCCTTAAATTTTATTTTAGGAAAAAAAATTCAATTGTATGAGATGAAAAGTTTCAAGAGAYCTATATTATACATCACAATGGCTATAATTAGCAGAAATAAATTGTAATATTTGAAAGTTGCTGTAAACTAGATTCTTGGTGATTTTAGCCTGTTAAGTAGGGCTACAGATGTGGCTCAGTGGGTATGGCAATTGCCTAGCATGCACAAGGCCCTGGTTTCTATTGCAACAACCACACATACACACACACACACACACACACACACACAGAAAAGTATACAAGATAATGCATATGTTAACCAGCTCAAATTAACCATACCACAATTTATACATATATGAAAACATGATGTTGTACCATAAATAAATATACTTTTTGTCAACTAAAAAATAAAAATTTATTTAAACCACCTTCTTGGGGGAAAAAATGAACCAAGTGATCAACTTTTAAGGCGAGAAATACAAATGCAGACACATACAAAGAAAGTCCATATTAAAGAGATCTATTCAATGAAATAGACCATAAAGACACAATAAAGAAGCCAATGGGGCTGGGGTTGTGGCTCAGAGGTAGAGTGCCTGCCTAGCATGTGTGAGGCACTGGGTTCGATCTTCAGCACCACATAAAAATAAATAAAAAGATATTGTGTCCACCTATAACTAAAAAATAGATATTTTGTAAAAAAGAGAAGCCAATAATGCCACAGGTTGATTATCTGAGAAAAAGATTTAGCAAGAGAGAAAAAAGAAAGACAAAAAATGCCAGTAAAACAACAAAAAAAGGGACTAACTACAAAAGATAGGGATATTATGGATAAATTCCTAGAAAAAAATAACTTACCAAAACAGATTACAGAAGAATTGTAACAACTGAACAGTTCTATATACATTAAAGAAATTGAATGTGAAAAATGTTCCCACCCACACGCACACAAAAACCCAAGGCAAGACATTTTAAGAAAGTTTTAAAAAACGATGTTTTTTTTTTAAATTCCAATCTTATATATACTCTTTTATATTGTAAAGAGAGATTACTCCAAACTTATTTTAAAACCTACATGACAAAATTGACAAAGACAGTACAAGGAAGAAAATCTATAGAACAATTTTAATTGCTATATGCACTAGGTCCTTGCAATTCTGGAAGAACTCCTCCTCCCAGGAATAACCAATTTCTAGACTCTCCTATAAATTTGCCCTTTCTATGCAAACTAACTAATCCAGACCCAAAACACCCAGATCAACTTCCTTTATGGGGCACTTACCCTCTGGGACACTATTTCCTTGTCCTAATTACTTTAGGGCCAGGTATCAGACAAGAAGGGACAGCCAATACACCTAAGTCCATTGAAATGGTTAAAACTAGCCAATATTAAACCTACTTGGTCTGCTTGCCCTGTTTGCCCATTCTTTTTCTTGAAAACCACAATTCAGGGTTTTTTGTTGTTTTTTTTTTTGTAGTCTCCCACCTTCTAATTGCTACCAACCT